CCCACAAACATTCCTTTCCTAAGCAAAGTCTGCTGTCTCGATTTCACCGAGTTTTGCGAGGAAATAAATCTTCTGAGTTTCTTACTTAGATTTCCGTGAAGTCTTTCTGAGGGATTTCTGTTTTACAGAACATTTGCATGTTTTGAAGCAGAGTTATCCTCTGCTGACCTCCTGTTTGACACTCTGGTGTCCGGGCTGCTGCTTTGTTTTTGTTTGTGAGGAACTGTGAGGGTTCAACCACAGGCTACGAATGCACAGCCCCCACACAAACATCCAGTTAAAAGCAGGTTCTGGCCACATGGGGAGTCTTTTAGGTATTTATTTATGTTTTTAAACCTAAACCCAAGTGCATCAGGCAGTACCAGGTCAGCAGTTCTGATCAGCAGCTTAAATAAGTCCCCCCACACCTGATACCTCCCACCTTGGAGATACTCTGGACACAGCCTTGGGCAAGAGGCTCTTGGTCACAGAAAATAAATGTTTAAGCATAAAAGCACATTCCAAAGAAAAGTGAATGTAGGAGTAAGTCATAATAGCCTTTTTTTTAAATATCAAATAAACACTGTCATTATATTAATGATCTTGTGTGTGTGTGCATATATTTCAAAGTCCTCCTGACTGAGCTTTCCTAGTTCACTGTATAAAAAGAAAATATTCATTATGGATAGTTTTGTTTATACAGTTTGACAAACAAGAAAACTGTGCCTTGTGCAAAGCTAAGAGCTCCCTGCTTTGAAGGGACAACGAATATGCTGCTTCAGGAACACCACCAGCTCCAGGATGCCTCAAAGCCAGAGGATGAACATTTTATGTTTCCAGTGTTACAGCACAAACTGAACGAACCAAGGGGTGGAGAGGGAACAAACTGAGGGGAAAGCAAGAAAAAAAAAAATGCAAGTTAACTGATTGCAGCCTGTCAAAATAATCAGAATTGAATGTTATATTTAATGGTCAGAGACAGATCATCCCGAGGTGATCACTAAGAAAGTCCCTTCTCACTGGAACTGTCAAAATTTTAGAAGCATCAAACCACGACCTTAACTTGCAATTCAGGCACTTTCCCTCTCTAACTTAATGCCAAACTGGAAGGGAATGGATGCTCAAACACGGATTGGGAGGAAGGTTCACACAGCCCTGCCCAGGCAATCCCGGGATCATCAATTCCCACCACGCTTTCAGCTTCTCCCAACCCGGGAAAATTCATTTCCCAGCACCTTCAGCCTGGATTTGCCTCGTTTCTAAACATAATTTCCCCCCTCAATGTGCAACTCAGCAATCTCCAGTAATATGTATTCAAATAAAAAACACATGTGATAAGAAACAAACCCAGGGCTTATCTATTCTGCAACTCCCACCCCCCATCTCACCAAAACAATTCATTAGCATTAGGAAACACAACTCTTACTCATCAGAAAAACCAAGCCCAAGTGTTCCTGCTCAGTGCCTGAAGCTCACAAAAGGACATTTTCCTGCTTCTGTTGAACAGTGATCCCTGCCTCACTCACCTGAGCTTAAAAACAAACCCACGCAATTTTCTTCCCCGGGTTTAATTTGGGGTAAATTATAAACACTGGTAATATAAACACGCTGCAGAAGAGAAACCTAATTCTTTCACAGCTGGAACCCCTGAGTGAGAGAAATGAGCTGCTCGTTTGTGAAATGCTGCAAGTGGATATAAATCTCTCAGATGCTGATATAGAAATAGTTCCAGAATATTCATCACGAATAAATGCATCAAAATCTGCACCTCTGTGTAGGAAAAAAGATCAATCACAAAGTAATTAAATCACGTGTCTGTCCTAGGGAAACTTGGTTGTAAAGAGCAGACAGGCATGTTGCTCTGAACCATTTTAAATCCTGCAAATGTGTAAATAAATATTATTTCCAGTGGAATAGAGCCCAGAAGGTGCTGTGTGACCCCACAGCACAGTGTGTCATAAGACCTGTGTGATTCCACCCAGCAAGTGTAAAACAGCAGCTCCCCTGAGGGTTCAAACACCTTTCACAAGATGCACCCCAGCAAAAACCTGAGCTAGAAAAAGGCCTTGAGACACATCAAACTGATCACAGCAGTATTTGCTGTGAATTAGAGCTGTTTAGGTATTTCTCCAATATTTAATTTACTGTCATCTACAACAGCCTTGCCTAGGAGGGCTTTACATATCACTCCCCCCCCAAAAAAACTACATTAAAGAATTATCTCTGCAACGCTGGAAGAAGGGCAACCCCATGACTGAAACCATCACTCCATGGCAATAATCTGAATAATCTATGAATAGCAGAATTTATAATCTTGCCTGGCTCATGCATCAAGCACTGTGCTTATATATTGCTTCCATCATTTCATTTTGGAACTATTACATAATATATCAAACAGAGCCACATGTCAGTGCAGAGGAAACAAACATCACTCTCACAGAAAAGCAACTTTTTAGGACAACACTTCTTCAGTCTAAATCTAATCTCCTCAGTTATTTAAGCAGCCCACAAGCAGCTGGTTTGCCTGAACTCTCACAGCAATTTTCCACTGACAGGTTTAAAAGAAAACATGATTTATCAAAATAACAATAAGACTTAAAAAATCAGCATAGATGTTAAATGCAAACACAGCACTGCGAGGTAGACCTTCAAGACTGAGAAAACCAAATTAGTCTCCAATATTGCTTCATTAGTACCACAACGCTGTTCCTTTTAACTCCAACCCCAGATTCCAGCAGAGTTACTCTTTGGGAATTACTGGAAGCTTTGATCACAGTGTATAAGACATAGTAAACAGCAAAAGAAAACAAAACTCCACAGATTGCTTTTAGTAGCACCAGTCAGGTGAGTAAAACCAAGGAGGGAAGCACGGAGCCTCCTCTGACAGCTGTAACCTCGGAAAAGCCAATCCACAGGCACAGAGGTTTGGCTGAGGCGGAGACACGGATTCATTGAGGAAATTCGGGAGGGTGCCTTTACTATCGGCTCTGCCTGCAAGTACAGACACATCAGGCGACAGCCTCGGAGCTTATACAACCCCGAGGAGCACCAAATAAACCTTGCCCGGACAGAAGAGATGTTCAGAGACCAGCACATTCGGAGGACACCGGAAAGCAAGCAAGCGTTTTCAAAGCTGTCCTACCGCTCACCAAAAACCCCGGAAACCCACGTTTACTTAACTGCACAAAAGCTTTTCCCTCCCATAACACTACGGGAAGGACACACATCACGTATCGAACCTGAACATGCGCCGGCTGACTTAGAAATAACACTTAAAGGTCCGGCACTTCACGCGAAGGGTCCAGCTGACGCCTCTGACACGCGATGCACAGCGAGCAGCACAAAACATCGGCGTTAAATAACTCCGGGGGTGGCTACAAGTACGGAGACACCGCCTCACACAGGGAGCCAAAGCTGTCGTGTCCTCCAGCCCCACATGTGCGGTGTGTGTGTGTGCCGGGCTGTCCCCTCCATCCCCTGACCAGTCACAGTGTGTGTGTGAGTGCCGGGCTGTCCTTTCCATCCCCTGACCAGTCACGGTCTGTGTGAGTGCCGGGCTGTCCATTCCAGTCCCACATGTGCAGTGTGTGAGTGCCGGGCTGTCCCTGTCCCCTCCATCCCCTGACCAGCCACAGTGTGTGTGTACCGGGCTGTCCCTTCCATCCCCTGACCAGCCACGGTGTCTGTGTGTCGTGCTGTCCCTTCCATCCCCTGACCAGTCACACTGTGTGAGTGCCGGGCTGTCCCCTCCATCCCCTGACCAGACACGGTGTTTTTCCAATCGCAGGCACTGACAGCCCAACACGCCGCCGGGCCCGGCTGGAGGATCGGGACACATCCCGCTGTCCCTCCGGCAGGGACCCGCTCGCTCCCCGTGCGGTGCCAGAGCAGAACACGCCGCTCCCAGCAGCTCCACGCCGCCGCCTCCCCGGCCCCAGCCCGAGCGAGTTGACAGCCACTCACAACAGGATCGGCCAGCAGTAGTATCAGCGTCAGTCCACAACGCCACGAGCGCTCGGAGCTGCTCCGGCACCGGGAGCCGCTTCGACACCTCGACCCGCTCCAACACCCGGAGGTGCTCCGATATCCCGCAGCCCAAGCGGCTCCGACAGCCCGAGCCCCTCCACCGCTCCGGCACCTCGGGCTGTTCCGACACCCGAGCACCCCGAGCCGGCACCTCCGAGCAGCGGCACCTCCGGCACCTCCAGCCGCTGTGCCGCCCCGACACCCCGAACCGACACCCCGAACTGACAAGACACCCCGAGCCACCCCGGCACTCCGCGCCCGCTCCAGCACCCCGAGCTGTCCCGGCACCTCAGCTCCCCGCTCCGGCACCCCGCTCCGCAGCTCCGCCGCTCCGGCATCCCGAGCCGCTCCGGCACAACACCGCGCCGCCCCGGCAGCCCGCGCCGCTCCGCAGCTCCGATACCCGCAGCGCCGGCCGTGCCCCGGGCGCTGTCCCGGGCCGCCGCTGGCCCGTGCGGGGCTCGCCCCGCTGCGGCGGCCGGGACGCGCACAGAAGATGGCGGCCGGCGGCGCGGGCCCCGCTCGCGGCG